GAGAGAGAGAGAGAGAGAGGGTTTTCCATCGATAGGATGAGCAACGCACGGCCAACAGGTAAGTCTCCAACCCCACAGCTGGCCTCACGCTACTTCCATCGATAGGATGAGCAAAATCGAATGAATCATCTGCAAGAACATGGAAATATACACTACTACACGTGTGTGTGTGTGTGTGTGTGTGTGTGTGTGTGTGAGGATTCAGTCTCATTTTGCACATTTGGAGAGTGCTACTCTCCACATGCAGAAAAGACAAAAATATGCCCATGTATCTTGGCATGTTCTAGTGGAGGATTCAGTCTCATTTTGCACATTTGGAGAGTAGTGGAGTGAGGCGCTTGGCCATGCCTCTTTTTTTCGCCATGTATCTTTCCATGTTCTAGTGGTGGATTCAGTCTCATTGTGCACATTGGAGATTAGTGGAACGAGGTCCAGCCTTCAGAAGACATATCGTTGAGCCGTGCTCCCCTATTCTCCACATCCACAAAAGACAAAAAATGTGGCCATGTATCTTTCCATATTCTAGCGGAGGATTCAGTCTCAATTTGCACATGTGGAGAGTAGTGGATTGAGGTTGAGCCTCGCGCCGCTACTCTCCACATTACAAAAGGCAAAAAATATGCCCGTGTATCTTTCCATGTTCTAGTGGAAGATTCAATCTCATTTTGCACATTTGGACAGTGGTGGAGTGAGGCCCCTGGCCGTGTTTTTTTTTTCCTTTTTTCACCATGTATCTATCCATGTTCTAGCAAAGGATTAAGTCTCATTTTTCAAATTTGGAGAGTAGTGGAGTGAGGCCCAGCCTTCAGAAGACACCTCATTGGGCCTCACTCCACTACAATCCACAAGCACAAAACAAAACAAAAAAAGTGGCCATGTATCTTTCCATGTTCTAACGGAGGATTCAGTCTCATTTTGCACATTTGGAGAGTGGTAGAGTGAGGCCCTTGGCTGTGCGTTTCTTTTTGGGTGTGTGTCTATGGTCTGAAATAGGATGGCAGAGGACGAAGGGGGTAAGAGGGGGGTGGGAGGGGGACATGGTGCGAACAGGAGGAGGAGGAGGAGGAGGAGGTGGCGGCAGAACCGGGGAAGAAGGAGGAGGTGGCGGCCGAACAGGGGAAGGAGGAGTGGCTCCGCGCCGCAGGAGGCATCCGCCTGTCATTATTATTTTATTTTTATTTCTGTTCTGTAAAACAGGTCCTTATGGTCCTGGCTCATTGTCCATTCTGGGGAGTGTCAGCCGGGTTCCTATCCATCAGCAAGTTCCAGATGGAGATAAATCATATACAGACTCGCGCTTACTTCCGTCCGGGCCCAAGGAAGCCTGAGGTTCTGAACAGCATTGATTACTATCCCTGATGGAGGATCGACGGTCAGAAAACTATCTTTCAACAGCTCCTCTCATATCTTTCAACAGCTCCTCTCAGACGCAGTGTCCACTGAGATTGTCAAGTAGATGTGGTTATCAAGAGCGGGAGACGGCGTTGTTCTGTCCATGTCTCGCCCCTGTTGCCGGTTTCTG